CACGCTGAGCCACGGATGGCAGACTGAGCCTGGACCCTCACGCCACATGCACAGCTTTGGATGGCAGATCTATGTGTAAAAGGTTAAATAGATCTATCAGTTGGGCTTCTGGAAGAAAATAGGAGAATATCTCCATGACCTTTGGTGAGAAAAGATTTTTAAAAAATAAAATTCATTTAGAACATTAAGAGGGGGATTGGGGTTGTGGCTCAGCGGTAGAGCGCTCACCTAGCAAATGCAAGGCTCTGGGTTCAATATTCAGCACTACATAAAAATAAATAAAATAAAGGTATTGTATCCAACTACAACTAAAATATATACATATTTTTTAAAGGAGAGAAGACCCTGAAGGCTGTCCTCCCCCATATCCAGCCCTGTGTTGCCTCTAGATGGCTTCTCTCTTCCTGTCCAGGCTGATGATATTAAGGATAAATTCTGCCTGGTCCTACTCGGAGCCACCCTGAGCTCCTGCTGCAGAAGGGGACCAGACATGTCCAAGTCCCTCCCGCCTTCCTTCTCGCAGCTGCCTCTGGTCTGGTGAAGCTGGCCACGATGTCCTCTCCCACAGCTGGCCCCCCGGAAATCGCCCAGGCCCCCTGGCTCAGCTGCCCCACCTCTTGGCCAGTGCCCAAGCCCTCTGGGGGTCGCCCACCTTCCCCCCGGGACTGTTAAAAGAAGGCGAGAAGGGAGCAAGACCCCCAGCCTGACAGTCCCCAAGTAACTGGTGCAGCTGGAGGGTCTTTGGCCGTCTGGGAGGGGCGGTGGCCTGGCAGAACCCGGGCCTAGGGTCCAGGGACAGGACCGCCAGGAAGCCGGCACCAAGTCGGGGGCTTGCACGGGCTCAGGGTCTTCCATCGGTCCCTTGAGGATCAAGACCTGCGTCTCCAGGGACCTGGCGGTCCCTCTGGGCGCCACCAATCCAGCCTCGGGGCAGCAGGAGCTCTCGGAGCGCGCCAGGAGCACCGTGCACCCCAGCCTCGCGCGCTGCACCCACCTGCCGCGGCCCTCGGGTGGTCACGGAGCCATCAGATCTGTCCACCCAGCCTGCGGTCGCTCGGGACAGCCACCTCGCCTGGCGTCTGGTCGCTCCCCACAGTCTCCAACCACTTCGCGGAAAAGTGGGCTCCGGGAACTTCTGCGCTGTCCCCTTGCGGGGCGCGGAGGGGCGGAGGGTCCGCGGCCTCCTGGGCTTCCAGGCAAAGGAGGGAGGTGCCCGCCCTCTCCACGGGGAGAGCGGCGCCGCGCCCGGCCCCTGGCCGCCGCCACCTGCCGGGTCGCCAGCTGGGAATGCGCCGTGGCCGAGCGCCAGCTCGCGGGTATTAATAACCCAGCGCGTCGGCGGGGACTCTGGGGGACCGGAGACGCGGACCGCGGGCCGGTGGCGCTAAGGCCTCAGGGAGGGCCATGTTCCGGGAGGCTCCTGCGCGCGAAGGTCACGGCCAGGTCGGGTGTGGCTGGGCTCAACCCGGGGCATGGGCAGGTCCCGCCGCCCTGGATCTGTGCGGGGTGGAGAAGCTAGGACGCAGCGGCCACCCACAGCCTCCACTTGCAGCCTCCCGCTGAGTCTTCGTGACCTCGGATTCTCCGCAGTCAATCAGGCTCTGGGGGCGAAGCAACCTGCCACCCCAGGAACCCTCAACCCCTTCCCAGAAAGCCAGGGTCTTGAAAGAGGCAGGCGTGGGGTGGGGACTGTGGGGTGGTCCAGCCCAGGCGCTGCCCGGGAGCTTGCAGGGCCGGTGCAGCCCCAGGTGTCAGGTTTGCGGGCTTCTGGGGATTCAGGGGGTCTGCCTGCATCTGACCTGACCTAGTCCTCTACCTGGCCCTCCTGACTCTAGGGTCTTTGTTCACAGCCTTTCACACTTTAGCAGAACCCACGAAGGTGACACACTGGGAAGCGGCAAGGCCTTGGACGTGGGAGGATGTCACGTTGAAATGAGGCCCCTTTGCCCTGGGCCAACCGCTGGCGCCCACTCTCTATCCTCCTGGGACTCCACCTCTGACTGCAGGCCAGCTGCCAGGGTGTGGGCAGTCGATGGTCAGTTGCTGCCTGTGGGCCTCCAGCGCCTCTCTGCCACAGCAGTCTTCCCTGGCCACCTAGCCCCTCCCTCTCTTCTTAGCTCTCTTCTCCAGGTGCATCCTGAATGTGCTCTCTCCTCTGGGGCTGTCACTTCCACTGCCTGCAGAGCTAAGCGGTACCACTGTCCCTCTGTGTCATTGATATGCAGGTGGCACACTGCCCAGGAGGAGGCTTGGGGAGTGGACTGTGGGGTGGGGGCAGGAGGGGCAGAGGGTGAGGGTGGGACCCTCAAGCCTTGTCATCCTTCACCTGGAGCCATAAACCAAGAGCACCTCTGGGGGCAGCATCCTGGAGGGCTCAAGGGGGGGGGGGTTGCGACCAAGGTCGAGGGAAGGCAAGGTGGTACTCATGCTGGGTTGAAGGGACAAGGGAGGGGAACATTATGGCTGCCGAAGTGACTGCTGGGCAGGCACGTTGGCTTTGGGTGGAGGGCCACACCACACTGTCCCAGCCCACAGGAGCATGTGGACCTGGCTTTCCTGTCCTCAGCTGGATGTAGAGGGCCTGGGGAAGTCCATGCGGTCATCCTCGCTGGACTTAGAGAAGGCTGGCGCCTGCTTCTGAGAGTGGACACAGAGTATCTGCATAGACTCCAAGTCCCAGACTCCTTCCCCTGCCCTGAAGGAGCTGAGAGTCCCCATCTGTCCTGGGAGAAGACCACATGTTCTTAGGACTCACGCCATCTCCTCAGGCCTGAAATGGATCACCAAGGGGCCATGATCACTCTGCAGCCAGTAGTGTTGGCCCCAAGGGGACTGTCATGTGCCCTGCCCTGTCCCTCCAATGTCCCTTTTCAGGTGTCCTGGCTGTGCTCCTGTCTCGGACCGGCCCCTTGCCCTGACATCTCATCTCTAGGACCTTCACAGAAACGAGCTCAACCTAAGGAACACGGCCCAGCGGGGTGCCGCCCAGTGGTGGACCCCCTGGCAGGCCCGAGGCCCGGCCTTGGCTTCAGCCCCTGGTTCTTCAGAGGCAGGTGCTCCACACCGGGTCACAGAGGACGGGATTTTCTAATAAAAGAGCCCAAGAGTCTTTCTATAACTTTAAAAATACAATGTCTAAGATTAAGAAACCACACAGAAGAATCAGTTGACTCAAAGGTTGGTCAATAGAACCATGCGAGCTCCGAGAGACAAGGAGAAGAATAGAGACACAGGCAAGCAGGGAGATGGGGCCCCGTCGTCCGGCTGCCTTGCACGGGAGCCCCAGAGAAAGGGGGCAGAACCAGTATCTGAAGTGCGGCTGGGAGCTTCTCAGAACTGTGAACAAGTCGAGAACCTGAGCAAGTCGCAGGCAGGAGAACCACCCCTCTGCTCCTCAGCAGAGACCTGAAGACAGAAGTGGTAGCAAAGCCGTCGGGTTAAAACAGAACTAAACAAGCGGGACAAGGAACCAACGACAGCGGGATTCTCTCCAGAAACCGTGGAGACCAGCAGAGGTCGGCCGACAGCTCTCCGGGGAGCTCCAGGGACTTCAGGCCTGGCTCAGAGCACGTGCAGGAGGGACGTCGCTGGGGGTGGCCCAGCTGGGGCTGGGCTGGATTGGGGACTCATGCTGGGGACGCCGCTTTCTGCTTCATGTTTTCCATCCCCAGTGAGCGTGCAGTTCTTCTTCCTCTTTCCCAACACTCCAAAGCATCCTTGACATCAGATATCTCCATGACTCCTTCTCCATCATTTTGTGAATCCACACTCCAGTGGATCGGGGTGAGGTTGGGAGCAGCTCTGCCTATCGCTGTGGCTCCCAGACACTGGGCTTTGGGCTCAGGTGTGTGCTCAGTGTCCTCTCCTGGGAGGAGATTGCAAGTCCCCTCTGCCAGGCCCCAGGAGAGCTCCGTGTGCACAGCCACGGTCCCCAGGCTGTTTCTGGGCCTGCTTCTGGGGATGAACTCTGCCTTGTCCCGTGTATTCATCCCTCTTCTGTGGTTGGAGCAGAGAGGGTCACGGCTTGGCCTCTGTTAGGGTTTGAATGTGAGGCCTCCCCCAAAAGCCCATGTGTGAGACAATGAAAGAAAGTCTAGAGGTGAGATGACTGGGTCGAGAGAGCCGTGACCACTCTGTGCATTAACTCCCTGATGGGGAGTGACGGGTGGTGACCGAAGGCAGGAGGGGTGTGGCTGGTGGAGCTGGGTTCCTCGGGTAGGCCCTTGGAGTTTGTGTTTTGGAGCTGAGTTTAGCTCCTTGGTGCCATGTTCCCAACTGGTTTCCTCCATCACAATCTTCCACCATGATGTCCTGCCTCACCTCCAGCCCCAAGGAATGGAGCCAGCCTTCTACGGACTGAGACTTCTGAAGCT